ATTATCTAAGATCCAGGAGATGGATGTATTTGTGAATATTTTCGTGTCTTACTTCAATGGTCAATTAACCGAATGGCGGGTAATAAAACATCGCGAATTTGTGTGTGAAAAGATGTCTCAGCATACACCACTTGAAGCTAACATAGTAGTAAACGTCGAAAACATTCCTTTTGGACGTAATCTCGTTAATCGCGAACGTGCAACTAAGAAGAGGCACATTTAGTCTGATCACCGACTTCTAATACGCAATTTCAATGAGAAATTTTAAAGAGAGTTGTTTCTACGTTGACGGGGAATAGTAACGAGGAAAAGGACGTTTTTTCATTGGGATCTGCATTGGTTTCACTCATATCTGATGCTGTTTTGGTTGTTGTTGTTGCTAATACTGAAGTTAGAAAATAATAGTCAACAACATCATGTTGCGCATATGTTGATTGTTAATTGAGTGCCATTTTCCGGCCTTCTTAGCCTCAGCAAGATAGTGATGCTGTTTCGGAGAAAGGCTCGACACTGCAACGGAGAAGTACAATCTTCTGTTTAGCTACAAAAATTACGGCATACGACAACCGAATTTCCATACCTTGTCAACCGCATAATGATTTTTCCCATCAAGCCATCGAGATCTCCGCGTAGTTCGATCCAAAAGAAATTATAATGAAAAAAGAAAGAAATCGATAACTTTAATTCTCACAATCCATAGGTGTTAACGTATTTGTCCAGACTCCTTGGATCCGATCACAACCTGAACCCGGAGCCACTGAAATGTCTCAGCGTTCTAGCAAGGAATGAAAATATTGAAAAGTTTATAGTTAGTCATAACGATTATTATGTAGATCTTTAAGGATGTGAAAAATTTGCACATTAGATTCTCATCGACTCCAAATATCCGCTACACGAGGATCTAACTTCCTGTTGTTGCCGTCCCTCAACTAGATCGCAATATTGTTGTGTTCCCTCGCGAATATTACAACTCCACAGTACCCTCATTAGCATGTAATCTAGTTAACCAGAACAGGTTTTCACAGGCTTTTAATAGTTTGCGGATTTAAATCTCTTTTTTTTCATTATTATTATTTTTTAATTATCTCCCTCGCTCCAACCTGTATATTTTTAAATGATACATGCCTACAGAAGCTACTAAAATACAATATAATACAATATAGTAGACTTGCAAAATAAGTTAGAGGATGCCTTCGAACTTCCTTGATCTTATACGGATGGAATTACTCACCATCGGTTTAAAGATGCGGGTGACGGAATTTGTTTCACTGATAATCACTGCCTTCGTCTCCCGTCCCCTTGTCCTGCATTCAGAGATTTTTCGATCGGCTGATCAAATGCAGCATGACTGGCTTCATGCCTGTTTTCTTTATCCGTCGACTATGGGATCGTGCAATATTCCGGATCAAGCTATTTCTGTACTCTTGATGACTACAATCAGCCAAACGGTGTGAAATCGAAAATGATGTAAAGTTTCCCTCGCACGGATCAAGGTATCCGTTGATTTGCTCCAGCTCGAATTCCCCACTCCTGACAAGCATAGAACCGCATCACCGCCTTCAAAGGAAACTGTTATAATTGTCAACACATGAAAGCTCTTTCAGTTCAAATTTATGCAGCAGAAACGGTGGTTAATAGTCTAGTATAATTAAGTTGACGATATTGAATGTTTCTTCAAGTGCACTTGTGATTCAGTGGCTAATTGTTGCAATTCCATTATTTCTTTTAAACTGGTGGCTGACATTAATCTCTGTTTTCCTAACGGTTTTCTAACGGACTTTGAAGATGATAAGGACAAGAAGATACAAAAAAGAAGCCAGTAGATAGCTAACATTCATCAGAACAGATGTCAGTGAGTGTAGCTAGATTCCAAGCAAGCATTTGAGGACTGCATATTTGGCTTGTTCTAGTAAATTTACCCCCGACTAACTTCTTTCGAGGTTTGTGTAAGCAAATTTGATTGTGAGGTCACAAAACCATGTGTTCCAACACACTACTTATTGAAACATTTAGAATAGCCGAAAATCTCTGACTGTGGCTCGGAATCTCGTGGAGTAGAATACACCCATGGTCCAAACAAAGACACTGTGAACTAATCAGTGTAAGCGTGTTTGTGTGATTGAGCGTTTTTTGACGTCACTTGAATTCTAGAAATGGTGTTTGACCATTATTTTGACAAAACACCCATCCATTCAGAGTAGGGATGTTGATTTGTTTTGGTTTCCTTTTTCCCAAATTTAGTTAAATATATATATATATATTTAGCGCAAACAAATACACAATCGATCAAATCGTCAAAGATGCTTTTCATCTGTTAACGTAATTTCATCCAAAAACTAGTTATCTTTTTGACGTCACAAGTAGGTAATAATGTATGAAGTGGATATAACAAAATTTATTGCTATATTTGTACCCCTTTCATTTGTGAAAATATTTTTCAGTGCTATCAGGTATGAAACCGTGCAGCAAAAACTCATTTGCTCATTTGAACATCAAGTTCCACAAGATCTTTTGCACATGTCTCAATGAAAATTATTACCGGCAATTCCACAACCTACCTGCTATTGATCTCAACATACCAAATATCAAGGCCTGATTCAAAGACTCCATGTTGAATAGTGGTAGACAAACCTACATACGCGAATTTGATGAATGGCAACAACTGCCTAACTGATTGTGTGCCTCGTGAGAAATTCTCACTGGTCAATCGTAATTGGTTGATTAATAAACGTTTATTTATTCGTTTTAATGAAATTATAATTTTCACCCTGACCATATAACTAAAACTCTCGCATATTACTAAAAGCTGATTGTTCGGCGATATTCTTCGGCAACCGAGATGTGACCAGTCAACTAAAGACCCTGTCCTCATCCTTGTCCAGGCTGATGATATAGCCTAAGTGGACAGCTCCAAACGTTGATCAACATCGTTGCAAAATGTTAATAGCTCCGAGGCTTCCAATCGGTTTACGGCGGCTACTATGTAGAGACAATCCATGGGAAGACAGCCCATGTTGAGCTGGTCTTAAAACGCTGTATCTGGGCAAACATTATCATTGGTATGCTTGAAACCGATTTATCATGTTACCAGATTCAGGGTTACTGGAAGTCCAACTCCCGGAGAATCAGTTTCTTTGAAGAAATGTAGTACTAGCGGATGATGTTGCTTATACGATTCAATGGTCAAGTCAATGACTCTGTACTCACCAGGGATGCAGAACCCTTGTTCAGCTAGAAACTGTCAATGGTGTATAAGATCACCAGGAGGTCAGCGGTAAACATGCGCTAATGTCCTGTTGCCTTTCAGTTAGCACTTGGATGTGCAAAGGCTAGAGAAGCTACCTTAACCTAAATCCTTCTTTATCTTTCTGGTAATTTCAAAATCCGGTCTTTAGAACCATAGTTGTCATCTACAAAAAAACAAATCAAGTCAAGTTTTATACCTTATCATTTTTGTTGATTAAAGAAGAAAGCGATCTCTGGGCTGTATGATGAATTTAACATCACTTTCCAGTTATGTTTCATTAGTATAAGTCGAATGATCGAAAATATATGTGGTTTAGCGGTGCCTTTAGGATCTGCCATTTTGCCCGTTCTGACATTCAGTGACAGTAAGAGAGCTGAGAAAAAAGCTTCCAGATTCACAAAGTTTGTATTTGTTACACAGAAATAAGCATTGCATTTTCTTGAAGAATCACCCGCCAACGTTCATGCACAGTTCTATGCGTTCAAACCATTTGGTTAAACACCTCGATCATGCCGAAACATGTAACCTTGTTGGAGACTCGTGTCGGATTCCACACCTGCCGTGACTGAATTTCGCAAACCATTCGAACACAGGCACAACATCTCCAAAGGTAGCCCGAAAACGATCCCCAATCTTCTGCTGCTTTAAATCACATTTGTAGTCGTAGAAAATCATCACCCTCCGGTGATATCTACTGAGTTCCACTCCAAGTGTAAAGACCCCTATGATTTTTGAGTTGTTCTCGGCTGTTGATATGTGGTTCTGTCAGTTGCAATCACTGAATAATACTCACAATAGATTAAAGTTCCCGTTTTCTTGCCGGGTCACCTGCACCTCGTGCTCGTGTACTGCGTATCCAGAAATGTTTTGCTTAGCCCTCGTACGTAACCGATCTGATAGTGTGTTGCATAGCAAATTGATAACAAATTTGTATGACCCTGACACATGTGGGCAAAAGTTTCTTTGAACTGATATCATTTAAGTCTGTCCATGGCTTCAAGATCATGTATTTTTCATCAACAGCTATCGTTTGTCATAGAAATGAATCGTTCATAGTGCATCAGAATTTCGTAATGTGGAAAAATGGATGTATTTTGTTAAATGAAGCCCTGCATCAAACGTTTTTGCTTATTTTTTTAATATTCTTGTAAACTGCTTCCATTGGTACGATGATCTTCTAAACAAGCTATCCCAATGATGTCTGCTCATCGGTGCATTTAAATGGTCATCAACCAGGTTAATTGATCAAATATTCTTTGCAATCAAGCACCAGCGTACTAAGCTTTCTGTGCCATTGAAAGCATAAACGTTTTTCTTATGAACACGGGATTAAGAGGGTAAGAAATGACAAAAATGCTTCCTTTGACGGGTGAATTAAAAGATGACCTTGAATAAAGCAGAACCGAAAACGAGCACAAAAGTTTTCTGTTATTTCATTTGATCCATACAGGTTCCAGCATCCCAACTTTACACGGTTTTCTAATGCCAGTAACCCAATAGCTTCTCATCAAAATTAGGAGAAATATAATACATTTTTACTGAAAGTCAGGCGAATTGTTATTCGGCGATAGAAACATGTTGCTATCAACTTGACATCAATTTGGACCATACACAAAATTCAGCTATCGATCTTTTGTTCTTCACGCAAATCCACTCACGTGACAAAGGTCTCAAAACCGGGCGATGGGCATTCACGTTTGACAAAATTCTCACTCAGTTTGCTCTGATTGGTTCACTTGATCTCCAATCACAAATGATGTTACACATATTCAACGAGAAACGTAAGCTTCATAAGAAAGCGGTTTCTGATAGTGTGCGGTGTGTGATGCATCCGGATGAATCTTTCCCCGAAAGACTAGCCTCTATTCTGAAGAAATCACACGAATTAAGACGGGACACAGAAGCCGCGGAGGTAGCCAAATGGTTAAAAGGAAGAGTCACTGCTTTCAAAACTGTTTCCGTGGGTAAGTAGTTTGCTCGTATTCGCATCCATTTGATGGTGATAGTCCGCGCAGCTACAAAACAGATCGAGCTAATGATCATGCGATTTCAAAACAACAATATCGGAGCACAGTCGATCTGTTTGTTGCAGAACTGTTTGTATTTAACCGGTGCGGTTGACTGGTTGTAGCAAAATATAACCGACCTCAGTGGTACTTTGTATGTCAGGGTTAGTACAGTGGATGTAACAGACAAGATGTCTCAGTTTTTACTATTAACTTCACTCTGGTAATCTTTTCCCTTCCCGCACGTCCAATACAACTCAACGGTTCTCGATCCGAAAATGTGAGGGTCGAATTCAGACAGAGAGACCAAGTGAACGCACCGCTAACTAGTTTCAAAGATACAAACGTTTGCCTCGTAGCATAGTGAGGCAGATCCAGTTTGAGGTAGAAGAGAGGGAGCTCATAATACTTAGTAAGCTCCTAATGTTTTGTTGTTTGAGTTAGAATCTAGGCCGTGCACGTAGAGCTTAATCACAGTCATGCGTACAGTTAATGTAATAAATCAACTCATCCCATGTGCTTTCCTGACATGCTAAAATCCCATAAATTTTACAATTGAGTATTATTCATTTATTTAAATGCATACCTTGTTAAATCTCATCAAAACGATTTAGGTGAAAGGGATTCAGCTCTTCTTTAGTTTATCTCCTAAAGGAGGGGAATTTTATTTAAAGATTTTAATAATTCATTTCCATTTACCTAACAATAAGAACGGAGATACAGTTATTTTCATCATTCGGCCATTCGGCGCTATTTACTTAAAATGATGGAACGTGCCGTTTATTGGTAAGAATACGTTTAATGAGACTGAATTTTGACAGCTACGTTTTTATAGAAAAGAGCAAATGAGGCTGGAATCAAAGCCCTTGTGGTATTGAAATGGTAACAGTCAACGTTTTACTGACGGTAACCAGATTCATAAACATCATATGATGTATTCATCGAAGTTTTGAAGTGGTGCTGGGGAACATGAATGCGGATTGTGTGAGATATGCACACGTGGATGAAATCCAAAATCTGGTCAAAATGGAGCAGTTTGGACTACGGGAGTCAACATGCAGTGGATCGACGCACGAGTTCGACAGCGTCCGAAACAAACGGATCGTTCAATGCAAAACTACTCGGAGGGTGAAATAAGTAATGCCACGAACAAAACAATATGGGTGTATTCCCGAAAAAATAACTCTTCTTATTTTATTCCACGAAAGGTGTTGTTATGCAACACGTATCTTCTTAAGTGAGCAGAAAACAGCCTTCGCAATATATGCTGTCCAAGGAAAATCCGAACAAGTTTGATTCGTGTAGTATGCAGGACCGAACCCAGTTCCGGATCCAATAAAAATACCCTGGCAGGTTGACTCCGCGCCGCGCAGTCCGAGTTCTTATGCAATCAGCGTGTTCAC